CAGAGGTTACACATTACCTGACAATAACTCCAGGACGGAGATCAAAGTTCCTCTTCACAATGTCAAGCAGCTCTCTCTCACTCTTGTTGGAGGTCCCGTAGTGGAAGATAGAAATGGAGAGGGGGTGGGCAACTCCAATAGCATAGGACACCTAATACAGACACATGTGTTATACCAATCTTAAAAACAGCACTTTTTAGGTAGGAACCTGTTGCAGACGCACTCTCTAAAATGAAGAGAGGAGCATTATTAAACTAGCGCTCACCTGGACCAACACTCTCCTGCACAGCTCAGCCTTCACCAGAGACTTGGCCACCCAGCGTGCAGCGTAAGCAGCAGAGCGGTCCACCTTTGTGTAATCCTTCCCGGAGAAGGCGCCACCGCCGTGGGCTCCCCAGCCGCCGTAAGTGTCAACAATGATTTTACGCCCCGTCAGGCCAGCATCACCCTGTGATGGAAGAACAGAGGTTACAACAGGTAAGCAACTCACCGGCTAGAAACCCCTTCTGAAAGCCACACCTGCTGACATTTACCTGTGGGCCTCCGATGACAAATCGCCCGCTGGGCTGCAGGTGGTAGATGGTGTCATCGTCCAAATAGATGCAGGGAACTACAGCCTTGATGATTTTCTCCTTCAGGGCATCTCTCATCTCCTCCAGGCAGATATCCTCATCGTGCTGAACAGAGACGACAATTGTGTGCACGCGAACTGGAAGCATGGCGCCGCGGTCCTGGCGGTATTGGACGGTAACCTGCGAAGAAGGTGAGAATATAAATGAGCTACAGCCCTCCAACAAAGACAATTTATAGTAGTAAATAACTGCAAGTATGGACGCTCTACCTGAGTCTTAGAGTCTGGTCGCAGCCATGGAAGGGTGCCATTGCGACGCAACTCAGCCATCTTAGCGTTCAGCTTATGGGCAAGGACAATAGTGAGAGGCATACTCTCCTCAGTCTCATCAGTGGCATATCCAAACATCAGCCCCTGCAGAGGAAGAGACATTAACTCGAGTGTTCAAAAAGCACGAGTCTCGTTTGAGGACAATAACAGACCAGCAACCTGCAACTTCACTACAAACACGACCAAAATGCTGTTTTAACTACTGACCTGGTCCCCTGCTCCAATATCCTCCTCATTGCGATCAATGTGGACACCCTGAGCGATGTCAGGAGACTGCTGCTCCAAGGCCACGAGAACATTGCAGGTCTTGTAGTCGAATCCTGTGCAGGAGACAGACAGCAGCTTAAAATGCCATTCTCCAAACAAACCCGCAGACAACACAAACCAGAAAAACAACAACAACAAGCCACACCTTTGCAGGAGTCGTCGTATCCAATTTGGCGGATGGTGTCACGAACAACTTTCTGGTAGTCAACTGTGGCACGTGAAGTCACCTCGCCGGCCAACAGGATCATCCCAGTCTTGGCAACAGTCTCTGCAAAGAGAAACAAAACACTCAATAGTCCGCTGGCATTATAAAAAGCACCTGAACAAACAAACAATACATACATATACAGAGACACGTAACAACTGCTTTTTCTTACCACAAGCAACTTTGGCATCCGGATCTTGCTTCAGATGGGCGTCTAGAACCGCATCACTGATCTGATCGCAGATCTTGTCTGAAAAAAACAAACAAAAAAACAATGCAACTAAACACCGGCATCAATAGCACTGCAGCAGCAGCAGAGGACCGGGCCGTATGTAAACTGAGGCAGCGGCCCGGATCGCGGTCGGTAGGAGGGGCTCAGGGTCTTACATCAGTCGCCATTTAAGCATGTGGTAAGGGAGGGAGCGCGCGCAACCAACCGGGGAACCGGAAGGCGAGCGTGACAAAACTATAAACACCGAGTGAATTAACGTTAAGTTACATAAGCCGAGGATATAATAATAATAATAATATTAATAATATAATTTAAAAAAACAAAAAAAAACACCCACGATGACGCAGAGGTCAACGACCAACGGAAAACGTGACGAGTCACTGTACCCCCCGCGTGTCTCAGGAATAACGGACGTTTCGGGGGCACGTTCAGTGAAACGTTAACAATAAACACTGTGACGACAAGACCGTGTGAGCGTCGTTCACAGGTAAACGCTGAGCGTAACTCAGGTGTGTCGGGGGACCAGACACGCGCAGCATCACCGGCTCAGCAACGGTTAGCCAGCTAGGCTAGCAGCGCGTGCTCTTGAGACCGGCCCAGCCGACGTTCCGGTGACGGAGGAGGCCGAAACCTTCACGTCTTTTATGCCGTCGACTGCTTTTATTTCCCTCTTAATACGAGGGAAACGTGAAACTGGACGACGGCCAAATAACGTCGTAAAAAAAAATAATAATAATAATAATTGATAGGTGTCGTGTCTTACCGGGGTGTCCTTCTCCGACAGACTCCGAGGTGAACAAGAAGCAGTCCTCGTCAATGAGGGAGTTATGAAAGCCATTCATCTGTCCGTTCATTGTCGCTAACGGCGGCTGCGGGAATTTACAACTGTTACAACGTTAATATCGAGCCTAACTGTATTTATTCTTGTTAGCAGCGTCTCGGCGGTTTTCTCTTTTTCTTTTTCTCTCTCTCCCTCCCAAACGACAGTTCAGATCTGCCTCTCTATTGATCCTCAAGCCTGAGCCTCATGGCGCAGAGCTATTTATCCTGTGAAGGCAGACGCTCTGACGTCAGGAGGGTGTGGGCCGTACCATTCAGCCTGTCGAGGGGTGGGGAGCGTACTGTAACCGGTGTCTGTAACCAGCAATGCACCGCAGAGTGTCATCAGAATCTGACAGCGAACATGCTGCCAAAATGTTAGGAGCGAGACGAGAGCCTCGGCTCAGTCAGCACCTCCCCCCCTTAGTAATGACCTAATCGCACCTCAAGTGGGTGTGTCTGTCAAATAAAAAGAAACTTAAAGTTGTTCAGTCTGACTTTTTAAACAGCAGAAGTTGGAACCATAACCTTTCTCCATTACCATGTCACCATACCACACATGCCATACCTCAGTTGTTAACCCACAAAACACAAATCTTCATTCAAGCTTTAATAAGTTAAGGCTAGCCAAGATGTTGAAAACAAAACAAATTGTGGTCTGAACGTTTGACACTTGATCCTCCTCTGTCTGACTATCCTTCCCACTTTGTGTCCTGTATTTTAAGCAAGTGAAAGTAGAGCTGTCTGGCTGTGCATACACGAACTTGCACTGGTTCAACAGTGCAGTGTTTGTTGCAGTAACAATTGAGTTTTTATGCAGTTAGGATGAGACGTCTTACATAAAACTACTACTTTCCTTGTGTGTGTTTATCATTGGCCTAAGTGTATCAGGCAACAAACAAATGTTTCCTAGAAACCATTAGTTGAGTTCAGGTTTTCAACCAACACTGGTATAATTAATCTGATAAGTTGTATTCATTTTAGCTATCACAAGGACATCAGAACTTGTTTCCTTTGTGAAAGCAGCAGATTAACCTGGAAATACATTTGCAACAAACTCAAAACTGGACAGTGGAGGGAAGAGCAGAGGCTGGGGATATTATATCTCAACATAACATGATTATATTTTACTTAAAAAGCTCCCATCTCCCTCTTACCCTTCAGGCCCTATTGTATAATATAATCAAAAGCTCTGATTGTGAACATGTTCTACGTTTGTAGGCACCAGGTGGGTTTAATTAATGTCCCTACAAGAACCGGTTAGAACAGTTACATTGGTTTTAGTGGCGAAGTAGACCCATTTTATTTATTTGAGGTCTGAAACCAAGAAAGGTATATCTAGTGTCCGTTGGGTAACATTGTATACTGCAAGTGATTTTAAATTATAACATAGGTTCATGTGTTTCAGCCAAAAGTTTGAGACAGACCACAGGTCCAACAAGTCAGCTCATGTACTTCTTTTCTCCTTGTCATCGTGAATATCTGACATCCTGCCCCTATTAATCATCCCCTTTTCAAGATATGTTCAAATATGACTAGTCACAGTGACAAAGCATTTATGAAGGTGTGGAGCACACAAATACTGTTACAATAAAGCTCAATATGAGACCTGATGGTCTGATCTGATCCAGACTGAGGATACGGCAGTTAATGGTCAGTCACTGTGAAGGTCAGGTAACTTTAAAAGTGGCTGTTAGGTAATTTTTATTATCATCATGTGAGATAAGGAATAAAGTAATGATATCATCGACTACGTATTATTACTGTGTTACTGCACACTGTGGCTCATATCACAAGAGGTCATAAAAGATCACAAATTAAAGACTTTTTATGGAAAATCTAACTAAAAAAACAAAACAAGCCTTGAAAACTAAAATAATCTGTATATACATATGTTTTATACCTGCTTTGGCAATGTATAGTTTCCAAATAAAGCCCTTATGAATGGAACTGAATTGACTCGTCACACTTATGACTTTACAGAGTCATTAGTATTGTCAGCCTACTCTTTTAGTCAGTCCATTTAATGATGTTACTTGGTCTTTTGCTGTTTAGTGTCACCAAACCAAGCAACCCAATCCCTGACCAGTGTTGCATCAGAGTGGTAGTCATTTGTCAACATGAATTTGCAGGGTGGACACTTTCTTTTCAGAGTGTGGAAAAGCATGATGCAAGATGCACCTGCTGTTGCCTTCAACAGGATGTGTTGTTTTTGTTGCACACATTTATTCAAAAAGCTCAAAATAGCAAGACACTTCAACCTGTAACAATAAGAAACCACACAGAGCTGATTAGTTGTCCAAAGATAATTGATAATATAAAGGAGTGCCACTCTAATAATTGAAATCACTGAATTAAGTTATATTCTTTAACATCAGTGATGATAATACAGTACCATTATCTTTATAGTCAACACACACACTCTTTGGGGGGGGAGGAATATAATCTTTAACTCTTCAGTATATCAAGTATTCCACTTATTCTGATATAGAAACAATATATTATACTGTAAATGCCTATTTTTATCAAGCAGTGGCAAAAAAAAATAATACAAAGAGAGTCAAGAAACAGACAGCACAATTTGAAGGGGAGTATATTATTTCTTTGGACAGTGTTGCACTAGTTTTTGGGTTGGAGAACAAAGCAAGCAACCCTTCTCGCCTCACTGAACAGATGATTTCACACAAATAAACCATTTCCATATGCAAACAGTATCTCACAGGCTTGATATATTTCTTTTGTCAATTTCATTCACAATTTTACAAATACTTGTAGACTAAACAATCTACACTTCAGACAATGAAAGCAACATTTCACCTGAATTTACTAAAATGGAAACCGGAGAAATCAAACTCTCTCTTCACTGTTCCAAATAGAAAAAGGAAATAATTATCAATATTCTCTTATATCATTTTGACATTTCCATTGAAATAATGCTCCCTCACTGGCCAGCAGAATTCAGGCTCATCTAACAATTAAATAAGAAAATAAATACATAATTTAAGTAAAATAATCTTTGCGGCATAGATTGTCTCCTATTTTGTGTTTTCTACTATACTTAGTATTTGTCCTTTACATACATATTTCTTCTATTTTAGCCACATAATTACAAAACAATAACATTCTGTAGACAGAGCTTATTTTTTCATTAACACTTCAGAATAGATAGACAATGGTCATGACTGCAGAACTGATCATACTTATCTAAATCACCTAAAGTAGGACAAAGTCATACAATCTTTAACATTTTTTTAAACATGTCTACACAAAAGGTCCAATAGATTTTTCATTTCAAAATCAAGAAAATACATGAGTGCACTATGAAATGATTCAAACAATTTCAGACTTATGCAGGCATAACTGTCCTGCATTTTCTTCACCTAACATTTATACTGAAGTTAAATTTTTGTACTGTTCTTACCATGTTTTTCTAACAATTTTCACAGCCACGATTATAACAAAGAGGAGTCAAAAACAGCACTTTACGGCACAAAAATCACAGTACCGGAATGTACAGTATGTCCAGCAGCAAACCATGCAAACACAGTCACACCCCATTCACTGCTAGCTACACACACACACACACACACACACACACACACTCACAACCTCCACCATCCAAAAGACACACACATCCATAAAAACACATACACACAAAAACTCATTACAGACATACACACTGAGGTTACAGCTACAACAGTATACACTGTTCTACACTAACAGCCCAAAAGTACAAAGTGTCTAAGATGGTGCATCAGAGGTCACACGTTAACAATGCAACACGACTATTGTGACTATTGTCACTGTCAGCTATTCACCAGGATCAGTAAGGGATGATCTGAGCAAGAGAAAACACAAAAACAAACACAGGAACGGTGAACTGAAAAAAGAAAGCAAAAGTAGAAAGTCAAAATCATATAAAAAATAAAGCGTAAGATAGGACCATTTCATTTAAATGAAATATCACATTAGCACTGTGATATTTCACAAGTGGAACATGTCGGCTTTGTATTATACTACTTGCGGTATAATGCAAAGCCCTGTAGTAGCTCTACATAGTAGAGTTCCCGCTCACATTTGTCAGAGATATTCAGATTGATTATCAGTCAGAGTTTTACGTCATAATGCGAAAAAGTCCAAATTTTAATGCAGAATTAAAATGGAATAAAAAACAAATATAATGTGATTTTTGTTTTCTGGGTAAATTATTTAAAAAAGTAACTTTGCTGCAGTGAAAAGTTAAATAAGGCCCATTAACTCATAAAGGTATGTGTGTCAGAGCAATATACTGCACGTTTGCTGGGTCAGATATTGCTGTAGTTGTTACCACTGTAGTTAGCCCAGCAGAGTTAGTGGCCACTAATTAATGAACTAGCTCCGGAAAGAAAGCTATGTAGTGTCAGCTGACAGCTAGCCTCACACACCTATCACATCCCTCTGCACTGATCTGGCCGTCTATTTAAAGGCCTTTACACTCACATTCACTCTCTATGCTGACATGTGCTGCGCTGCTGACATGTGCTGCGCTTTGGTTCTGCTCTGCTTTTATGCATCCTGGAGGGACTTTATTCCCATTGATGGATCACTTGAAATACTACCTGTATGTAATGTGTCATGGTGCTGTATAATGCATGATGAATTTCCAAAGTAGGGAATATTCACATAAGTGGAACAACACCAATAACTCAAATTGCATGGCTATCTCCGTTGCAGAAACTAACAATGCAGATGATTGTTGACAGAGCTGGTGATACTTGTGTGTGATGTTTTGGAAAAAATGCATTTTTCATTATGTCTTTATGGTCCTCTTGGTCTGAGCGGATCTGTTTCATAACAGATACATGTTCCACAACGAAAGCAAACTGAGTGATCTGTGAGCTATGTCAAGTATGTCATACTCCTTGTCTCGTTTTCTATCGCCTATATGCAGTCTGATATGACTACATCAGTGCAGAGTTTCAAACCATTGTCGGAATATAGGGAAGATGTTTTTTAAAAAGTATTAAGTAACCACTCTTTAACGTGACCATAAATCCTTGAGTATTTCCTAATGCAAGGTGTCAGCTCCCTGTACTGTCCACACCTGAGAACGGACAAAGATAGAAGAAACATAGGACAGAGTGAAAGGTTTACAAATTAAAAATATACAATGTGCACAGCTTGATAAAACAACTCAAGGCAAAGTAAGCCTTCTGGACAAACCAGACGGCTGTTCCTGAAAAGGATGGCATCAGAAACCGTATATTTCCATTTCAGAAAATATACAGTATAGTGGATGTATGTAATAAAAGACACAACAGTTGGCTATGTGACCTGTGACAACAGCAGGACTCGGATGTGCATCACAGCCCTGAATCTCCTGTGTCTTTTTCTTTCTCCCCAGGAGCAGACACCTGGTTGCTGCTGCCCTCTGCTGGACATCCTCTGGACTCACTCTTAGCTGCTGCTTTAGTGGTGCTGGACGGAGAACCATCAGTGACCTTGAGCTCTTTTATCTTGGCCTGTGCAGGGCTGCCGGAACGGCTGCGGCTGGGGGTGCAGCTGCGATGGCTGCGGTGCTTGCTCTTGCGTGGACTGGGGCTGCGGGACCTCGTCTTCATGAGGACAACAGTGCTGTCATCTTCTGAGCTGAAGTCAGAGCTGTCTGAAGAACTGTTGTCAAGGCCTGAAGTGGGAAGCTGGATCTGAAGATAGATGAAAAAGAGGATGAGAGGGGATGGACGGGTTAGAATATGGAGAAGACAGATTCAAAGTCCCCCTCTAAGAGATAACGCATTTCATTGTTTTAACCTCAAGAAAGCAGTGCAGAGTTATAATTACCTGAAATGGCTCTGTTACACCCACAAGGGTGCTCATGTTGTTGCTATAGTAACCCAAGATAAAGTCCCCTGAGCCTTTGGGCAATTCCTCCTCTGTAAAGGTTACCTGGAAAAAAATCGTTAGTCAGACATCTATTAAACGTGAAAGAAAACAAGCTCCTAAGAGAATTTGGCATGCACCCAGATTACCTCATGTTCTTGTCGATGAAAATCAGCTTCCTCTTGCTTGGCCCAAACATATCCCACATAGTCCTTATGGTGTTTGAAACCCACCTAGGAGGGCAGCAGCACAAGACATTATTTACTGAAATATCTGTTATGCTATTGGTGGTGATTTGCTGACATGGATTCTTCAAATGTAACATGTCATTTGGTCAGTAGAGGTAAGACTATATTTACCTTGTACAGTCCAATCCAGTCCCAGGAGCTGCGAGAGAAGTTGGGCGCCATTTTGAATTTTGCTATGGCATCAGCAACACAGTTCCACTCATCCTCCACTATGATTGTGACCAGGGGGATATCCACCTTGTATGGGAACTACAGAGAGCAAAAAATACATATGTATGCTGAGTATCAAACCTCAGTACTGACCGAATGTGTCCACTGCATCAATTATTAAAAAAAGAATCGAAAGTTGGCATCAAATGCATGGTCATATACTTGTGTAAGTCATATGTGAGAAGATATAACCCGGTTAAAATCTTTTCTAAGTTTGGGAAGTATTTTATTTAAGTTCTTGAATAGCAGATTGAGTTCGGGCAACATTAAATATTTTATCTTTACAATGTGCCCTGATGTGTCTCACCTGTAGGGTAAAGATGGAGGAGACTGGTTTGTGGTCACTGACAGTGTATTCCATGAGACTTCTATAGTAGTGCTGTGTCACTTTGGTCCCGCTGGTCAGCCCCGAAATGGAGCCACGCTTCCCGGCGCCAAGAGCAGGTGCGGTGGCTCTCAAGCGCCACAGGATCCGGTCGGTCCAAGCTGGTTTACGCTTCTTCCCGCTGGATGCAGGACAGAAAGAGAGAGAAGAGGAAAAAAATACCATCTTGGTTCAAATCATTACATGGAGAGAGGCCCCTTCATGCTGCTCCCGGGCTAGTGAAGACCTTTCAGAGAGGAGAGTGTAAGTATTACCGAGCCAGGCTCTGTAATAGCTGGTCAGTGGCCTAGAAATCATAACAGCACCTCTGGCATCACCAACCTTGTGTCATATGTATTTGTTCCAACGTCAAACTTGTAGGTGGGAGAGAATTTCAGCGGCCCCTCTTGGAAACCCTCCAACACTGTCTCACTGTCTTTGGCCATATTGAGCTGTAACAATGAGAATTATTAGACATCACTCAGAGGATTTCTGTTTGGCACTTACTGACAGCTCTCCATTAATAAGGTAGTGTGTTTCTCTACTGCCCTCTAGTGGCATTACCTACACAGTGCACAATCCACCAGACAAGACAGTGCTTCCTGACTTCTTAACAACATTTCAGCTTGTGAAATGACAAGTCCTGACAAGTACTCAGATCTAACGTTAAAATTAAAGTCAACAGCTTTTGTTCAACAATCAGTGTATAAACTTATACAGACTATACTTTTATTCTTTAAAAAATTAAAAACTTCAGTTCTTTTCAGGAAGAACACATGCAGAAGAGTCAAATTCATATTATACAGCTTTTATTTTTACCTGATCCTTTTCCCACAACATTGGAAACTTGTTGTTATCAATGGCTGATTTTACCACTTGCATATCCAGGTCATCAATACGGAAATTGAGATCCCCAAACCAGAACACCACACTGTGAAAAAAGGAAGTGCAAGTACATAAGTAAAACTGCAAAACTGACTGTGAAACCAATTACTTTCACAAAACATAAATAGAGAAAACAAGGAACTGGGATTGTTTGTAAGTGCAAAGGTTTAATCAGATTTTTTTTTTTTACTACCTATCAGACAGATACATTAAACTGTAAATGTGTCTGTATAAATGCGTGTGTGCTGACTTACTCGTGGTCAAGAACCCCGGTGGCAGCCTGACCCTCAAACTGCTGCTGCTGAAGGATGCTCTCAAAGTCCTCCATGCGCTGATCTGAGTTTTCCATGTGAGCCGGCAGGTGGCAGTTGAGGAAGCAGATGGTGTGGCCGTACACTGACATGCGGGCGCTCACACCACCTTTATTCCCCTGTAACACCGACAAGCAGAGGGGAAGTTAAATTATATTTAAGATAGGAAAGCACACACTGTATCCCCGTGGTAGCAAAATTAAATGAATGAATCAATCAGTGATGGAAAAGTTCCTAAACGCAGTGATTGATATGTTAGTGTTTTCACCGTATTGAGTGGTGTGTGTGTGTGTGTGTGTGTGCCACAGAGAAACAGGAAGTTTACTCATTAAGGGCTAGTGAAGAGTGTCATCAATACTTAATGCTAACAGTAAAGTGCACAGTGGGGGGACAGGATGAGTCTGTGGATTTCTTCCCGCTGTTCTCCCAACTGCTCTGACCCACTAAAACACAAAAGATCTTTCAGTATAAAATCTGCAGAATGAGCGGATTCCTGTCTGAGTTCATAAGGGGTAGAATTCACTTAAAACTGAGTACTGGAAGACTTTTCGGAAATGTATTAGTGCCCTCAATGATCAGGACAACACAGACACATAGAGACCAATCACCTACCATCTTAGTTCTCTGTAACACATTGTAGCAAACATCTTTTCTACCTGTTTCAAAGAGACCTGGTGTTTGTAAATAAAAATCATATGAAATGGTTGCTATATGTTGGATATAGTTAATCAAATTTTCACTAGAAAAAATACCAGTAAAATATTAAAAACAACTTTTTACTTCAGTTTTCCCTTGGTTTATCTTTATTATGCTTGGCTTTCCGAGCCTTAATATCTGCTGGCTGTGAGATACCAACATCTATATCTTTATTCTCATAAAACTCTATGGAACAGCATTTGACTAACAAATAACAAGACTTGATAACATGGTTGGTGTGCAGTTGCTCTCACGTATATCGCTTGCACATGACACATGCTCAACAGACTCCAACTACAACGTCCATAAAGCAAACAACTTGCACTTTTTACGAAACAAGCAGTAGAAACTGTAGTGGCGAATGAGTCTCTCAGATCTCTATCATGGTATCAGTGACAGTGATGCAAGCTTAAATCTAGTCACTCCGACAGAGATGTCGTCCTATGTACAGCTAAGCTTCCATGTGGGAATTTTCCATAGCACAGTGCAGATAACAGAATGGTGCCAGTATCCGTCTCACCCAGTAACCCCCCAGGCCAGTGCGGGTGGTTTCAGTCTGGACTCCGCGGAGGAAGGGCAGATGGAAGTACTTGGCAAAGATCAGCAGTAACAACCCTTGCATCCGCTGGGAGGTCACCTGAGAGATAGACAGGTGAGGAGAACCAGACAGGAGGACAAAACAGGATAACATGAATAGGCACACTGTGAGAGTTATGAGGAGGCACTTTGCATATTTCTGAAAAGTAGGCAGCTATAAAGTTTATTGTAACTGTATAAATATGTTCTTAACTTTCACTAAAATCTAAATAAGCAAATTCTCTGAGCTGAGTCCGACTTTGCTGTGTGTCCATTTCTGCTGCTCTGCTTTACTTTCTCTACCCCTCCTATCTTACTCTCCCTCCTCTTTCTACCCCCTTGCATTTCCACTTCGCCCTGCAGGAGCCTGTGGCCCAGCTCTCCCACTACTTTACACGAAGCACTGCACATTAAGGAGGCCATAGCTTGTGGTCTACCCTCGCTGTGGCAACAAACCACTTTGAAGAGGAAACATGATGTACATACTGCAGGCATTTGATGGTCAGACCATTTCTTTCTCCAAGCCCTCCACCATCATTAAGCATTTGCTTCTGGTTATGCATAATGACATGCAGATTTTGACATTTGTGCGCCAATGTTATATGTTATATATTTGTTTTACTGTACAAAAGGGGGCATGAATATGACACATGCATTTGTTATGTGGAACAAGATAAGGTATTTGCATGCTATGTCAAGCCCCTCACCAGATATTTATGTTCATCCCTCCCCTCCCCTCCCTCTCCCTCTCCCTCTCTCCAGTGGTCCACACATCCCAACCCCCAACTGCAGGGCAAAGAAGCATGATCACACTTTGCCTGAAATGCCCTGTGGGTAGTAATGGAGGCACACATCTCCACGTGACATAAGACCATCTCGCTTGTATACTAACTGGCTATTTGAACAACTTTGTTGCGTAATGGATTCTAGTGAACCGTAAAGTGGACTGACTTTATTTGTGCTATGTGTGAGGACACAGACAATGAGTGTGCGTGTGTGTGTGTGTGTATAAAGTATGAGAGAATATACCTTTGCCTGCATGTACTGTGTTTGAAAAGCATTTCTTATCAACATCAGTGAACATTGGAAGAGCTCCTGAAGGCTGCAGTGCTACATTTTTGGCTAACAACAGCAAAGACATTTAATCCCAAAGACAAGAGTGTATGTGTGCAGCGGTGTATGTTTGACCTTGTACAGCACACACATAACTGAACAAATGAGCTGTGAGTAACAAGTGTGATGTTAGCAGGGCAGCTTGGGAATCTGGAAGAAGTCCAGTGCAAAATAAGGCTTACTCATTGCAGTCTCTAACTGACGACTACAGAAACATCAATATCTTCTCCCAGTGTTCATTACACAGTTATTATGATTGGACATAATTTGCTGGATCTAATTTAAATTTAGATTGGTAGATTTAGATTTATTGAAGTGTGCTTAACAAGCGAGTCTTTAAATGAAAAACTGATTTCAGGAGTTTCCTTAACTTGCATTCATTTAAAAAATGTAGGTTCCTGTTATTCCAGTGTCTACAAATACAATCTAACCTAAATATTAATCATACATGTTACTAAACTATTTAACTTTACAGCTTCACAGTATTTAAAATGCATCGTCCGCTGCCCCATAGTGTTATGAATCAAATGCTCAGTCAACAAATCTTGAGAAAAGGTCAATCCAATAAATCACATTGCGTAGAAAAAGTCGAGCTGCAACACATTCAATAGAGCGCGCCATGTTGCAATTAGAGATTAGGGCCAGAAAAAAATGCTTTGCTAATTTGTGCATTAAATTGTAGCTTACTCAAACAGGCATGATGGTGACGATCAGCAACTGTGTGGTGAATAGCCTGAAAAAACATCGCATTGGCTCTGTGTTTCTGCAGTGAAAGGCTGATTTGAGTAAGCCTTCTTGTGTTTGCAGCATTTACAGTCTGAACCTGACAATGAGTCTTGACTGACAAGCAGACTATCTCAGAGAGGAACGGACAGATGGGGTGTCTTGTTACTTTGTGCCTGTCCACCATGTCGTGACTAGACAGATTCCTACTGACACCACCGTGTATCTCACACTACTCAAAACAAACTCCAGCTAACACATCCTTAACCTACTCATGGCATTAATATCCACAACATGAAGTACACAAAAAGGTCACATGGAGATGATTTTAACGAGGTTTAAACTAACGTAGCAGACCGTGAGATAGCTGGAGGACGGCATCAGTCTCACTGTCAGCGGCCCATCAACACTGACAACAACGTGATCCAAAAATAAAACAGCATCCTGGGAGACATTTGTCTAGCTCTGTCAGCTCGACAGCTGATTCACGCTCTCTGGCTTACCATGCCAACAGAGCCAAGATGCAGCCAGACGAACACCAACCACAGCTACGGTACACGCCCTTACAAACATAAAACACAGAAAATGCCACCAAAGCAGACAGGTCTGGAGAGAATAAACATTTTTGATGATTTCTATATAAATGTTTGAACCTCCCTTTGGATATTTTACATAAATATAGCCATGCTTTTTATGTCTTATTTGATACACAGTAGGGAATTTATATTAGAAGGTATTTGCTACATCCCATTCAATATGTGCATTACGTGAAACTTGGTACGTGAACGCATTATGAAATAGAAAGATAGACTATAAGGAGCAGGTATGCAGGCATAAAGGCACACAGAAGGAGACCAAGAGACACAGAGAGCTTGACTTTGCATTGTGAGCTTGGCAGACAGAGGAAGATAGCAGATATGCCGACATTACACGGCTGTTAAAAAATTATCACCCCATCCGTTGCTCGGGGAACAAAATGAGCCGAAACAGCAGCAGGAAGCAGAGATCTCATCAGCGATCACATAATGCGTACAGTATGAATCTAAGCTGTTTAGCATTTTACTATGAGCGTGTGCATATGTGTTGATAATAAAACCCATTACTGACCAGCACATAACCAAAGGGGCTGAGTCTCTCCATGCAGACCTCGCTCCACTGGTCTGTGAAGAGGACATCTTTCAGCCTTTTGTTAATCATAGAGTTCACTTCCTGCAGCCTTGAAGATAAATGACACACACACAACAACACACAAGGGGTCAACAGCAGTCAAAAATGTAAGAAGAGCTCATGATTGGGACCTTTGATAATGTCATTGTGGATTAATAAATGGAAGAAAATCATAGCCATAAGGAGAGAGGCATCACTGTGGTTCAGCCTGACCGCTCATTAGCGGCATTGTCTGCAGCGTTCGTTGATGTGGGACAAGGGAGCATAAATGGACACTTGAGCTTTTATGTGGAAGAAACTGGATGACTACTGCACCACAAAACACTCACCCGATAATGTACATGTCTGTGTTTCCATCACCCACGTGCAGCCCCAGCAAGGAAGTGATGTCATCGGGCGGCGTGGCCGAACCGACATTCCAAGTGATGATATGCACCCTGTTGGAAAGAGGGTGTTATCACAGACTCTATAAGGGTGTTATATAACGTCTCTTATCTCCTACACACCTCAGTGTCATAACCTACAGTATCTGAGTGAGACAGCAGCACCGTTTATTAATATATACAAATGTATCACATCTGTCCAGATAAGACCAGTTTAGTTCTCTCAATTTCTTACCACAGTATGTCAAAATGTGTCATTTAACCATGTAGACAATTGTATTATCAACTACACATCAATTAAACATGCAATATTATTATCATGTAAGTAATTCAGTCATTCTGATTCATATGCAGTGTGAACTGCATAAAATTACTGAAGAAATACAAAACACACACAGTACAGACTGATGATGTTGATTTCCACCAGCTACTGTTTACATTAGATTAATATATTGGGAAGCTTTGTAGTTAGCAATGTCACTTAAAAACAAGAAGTCCCAGATTAAAATCCACTGGCTCTGAAAGCCAAGCAAACTCTGGACTAGTCTGAAGACATGCAAGTTAGGTAAATAAGAAAATCTATATCACCCATATAAATGTGAATGTGAGGGTGTGTTTGTCTGTATAAATACAGTATGTTCGCTGTCTGATAGACTATTGACTCTGCCTCTCACCCAGTGTGTACACTGGGACAGGCTCCAGCCACCTACAATCCTGAACAGGACATGCAGTTTAGAAAATGGATGGAATGAAATTCTGCACATCCCAAACTTCCTACTGTATATGTTACACATGTTTAAGGACCTACATATAATGTAGTATTTGCAGTGAACCCGCAGCTCTTCTCTTTTTACATGTCAAACTGAAGTAGTGGTACAGGATATAGGACATTGAGGGGCCTTCTACAGCCAGTGTCACTGTTGTTCTGGGACACTTGATGTTCAGCTCCCAAGAAAATTCCAGAAATGTTCTATAAAAAGCAGCGAGCTTACTATGTGTGCAGTGTTACTATTAAACTTTCCAACGGACCCTTCTCACAGCCACAGCATGTAACACACAAGTGTAGCTGAAAACAAAACATTAATGTTCATTAAATCATTTTAAATCAATTTTATCAGCTACAGCTGTGTTCTGTGTACAGCTCGAGAACAAAACCTGTTGTTATGACCTACTGTGTTAAACAGTTAGCACATACAGTATTGTTCCTATTCTTTTTTTCTTACATTTGAACTAGCTTTACCTAACGTGTTTAATGATTCAGCAACCTCATCAGTTCCAATGATTCACAACCCACTGAACCAGGGAGTGGTTAGACACACACCCATATAAGAGAAGAAACATCCAGTGGGAAAGAAAGAAACAAACCTTTCAAATGCCATTTAAGTGAAAGTATGTCACCCTTTTGAAGCGTAACATGGAAATGTTTCACTCCCTAAATTGGATAATTTTATGTAATTTAGAAATACACAGATAACAAATAACTGTTTTAAATAATTATGATCGCAGTATTTAGCAAAAATCACAGCAATTTGGCTACAGGTTTACTGCAATCATACCACCTTGCTTTGACTGTCAATGTATAGAAATACATGCTACATGTTCCAGGCCTGTGTTTCTGAGCTGTCTGGGAATGAAAGGCAATGCGGAGACGTGCTGAGACATGAATGTCGGGACACACACAGATAAGGGAACTTGCCTGAAGTCCTCCACAGTCTGGGCCTGAGTGTCAGCTGTACCCGCTACAGAGAGGGCTCTCTGTGCATGAGGGTTCAGGTGAGGAGGCGCAGGCCTGCTGGAAGGTGGGTGAGGGACTGAGGCAGCCCTAACTGGGTGGTGGCCATGACCTTTAGGACCAGCCTTAATGCTGGGCCCGCTGCGCTCTCCTAAAGGTTTGACTGCTGCAGGGCGAGAGGGATTAGGACGACTTGCTGCAGTGCCATCAGGAGTGCACTCTTCTTGGTCCGTCGCAGGAGTGGGTTCAGCTTTGGGCTCAGCTTTGGGCTCAGCTTTGGGCTCAGCTTTGGGCTCAGCTTTGGGTTCGGAGATATCTACAGAGCCCTCTACCCTGGCGCTTCTCTGCGGCCGTCGAGGCCTGGCAAGAGCTCCAGGCTGGCCGGCGGTGGAATCAGTGGCTGGAGCTGCTGTATTTGATGATGGAGCTGGGGTTGTTGTTAAAGCTTCTGCTCCTCCACTTGGGTTGGATTCTTGTGTCTGGCTTTGGTTCGGATTATCTTGGTCCATTTCTTACGATTTCTGTGTCAAAGAAAACAATAGGAATGTTTGGACTTGTAAGACCAAAGCCTGTTTTCGTGGCCATGCAATGATGATATAATGTGATGAGGAAAATACAGTTTAAAAAAGGAGCTAAGAAGGTACAGAGAGGATTTCTACCACTAAAATACTACATGCAGCCTCTTTAACAAATGCCAAGTCAATTCAGCTGATGAGTCATGAGACCCTATTGACCCAGCAGGACAACTGAGTGACTCATTCAGGCTCCCACCATTGTCACTGTTCAGTTACCTACCTTCTCATGGCCTAAAAGACTGATGAATACAACTGCACATATTGATAAGACAACAAAATGCATAAAAACAACAGCTGGAGAGCAGGAAGAGACAAGAAGATATGTATGCTCTAACAGCACTAACCTCCTAGAGCTTTTGGATGGGAGATTTGGAGAAAAAAAAAATAAAAGCCTGGACACAGTTTATCATCCTCTCTACTTGTGCCTAAGCTGCCTGCCAGTCCTCCAGTAACCAGGGAGATGCTCAGTCTGTTCATATCAGCTCAGAGCACCTGCCACACACTAACACGAGGAACCGCTGCACGGTCCAGAACAGCAAAAGTCAACATCACACAATAAACAACAACACAGAGAGAGGGAGCCGCCGCGAGATCACACAGACACAGAGAGCAGAGGAGGAGGACAGAAATGAAGGAGGAATTTAGGCCCATTCATTCAATTATTGCGTGATGTCTGCTTTGCTTCTTTCTATTACTGATTGATATAACACAATAGCAATTTAAGCTGCTGTACACCCAGTTAGTAAAATAGTTTACGATTGATTTTAAATGCACAATACATGAAGCATTTCACATTAGAGGCAACTGCTTTAATAAATTGACTATTGAAATTAATGAATAACTGAGTAATTATGGTGATATCCAACTTGGCTGAAGACAAAACAGTGCCACTTATAGAAACTTCCAATATTAAATCCCTAAAACAAAAGATTTGCCACATAGATGGGGACATGGTCTTGCGCTTTTGAACATGTCTGAGCCTTAAAAGAGCTGATGTGGGCACAACACTGTGGCAGCCCGACCCAGATCCATCAGTCAGTGGTGGTAGTAGTGAAACACGTGAGAGACGGACCAAAGCATGTCCGTGTGATATGTTTTATGAGCGTGAGAGGACACCTAACCTCACGTTATCAGGTGCCATTACCCCTTACATATGCTCTACATGGTTGAAATTATGTCCTATACACTATGGAGATAATGGTCAGTAGGGAGAGAGAAGGTTAACTGCTAGGGGACGGAGAAACAACAGAGCTTTCTCATAATTATTCACATGACCTTGAGGGAACGAAGGCCATGACTTTCACGCAGAGAGGGTAGAGCTTGCCTCTCTACTCAACATGTGCCCAGAAACATGCTGGTCTTTCAGTCCACCAATAACCTGGTGCCTGGCTGAGCATAATGTATTCCTATGGTCCATGTATGGCATTGGGTGGGGGGAGTGCAGAGGAGGGTGGAAGGGGCATTCGGGCACACGTGGGAGTGGGTGGGTGCAAAACGAGCCGAGGGAAGCGAGAGGGAGAGCCGAGCGAGACAGCCCATTCAGTGACAACACTGTGTCTCTTTGCAGAATGTCTCTAAATTGATCCTCTCACACTTCCCTCTGGCACTGTCTATTTTTCCAAGCTTTAATCCCCCTTCTCTCTCTCTCTCTCTCTCTCTTATCGTCCCATTTCTCTAATCCTTTCTCCCCTCCACCCCCCCCATCTTTTCCCACCTTCACTGCATGGGCATTCAGTCGTTCACCCCACCAATTTGGTTTTTCCTCATCCTATATTTTTCCTTTCACATCAAGCTGAGCGCCTACTATTCCTGACCTAAAATCTTCTCTTTGCTTTCCTCTCTTATTTCCCTCCCCTACGCTCTGAGGTGACACTTGTGCTCCTCCAGCGACGTGCTCGGCATTGTTTCCTTCAGCCAACCACCTCACAGTCACTATCAATGACGTCAACATGCCACAGTCCCAGCGGCCACCGTCACAATAACTGGACATAGATCATAATCGGCGGTAATGTGCATCTGTGTGTGCGGGAACATGGGAAAAACAGAGGAGACTGAGGAGGAGAGCAAACCATGAATTAGATATTGCTAAAACGTAACGAAAGGGGAAGTATAGCATGTAAGACTTTGTGAAGGTGATGATGAAAGAATGAAACATGCAGAGGCTTCTCTGTTTATATTTAGTAAAAGACTTTTCTATATTTTCCTGCAGCCAAAATCTAACCACAGTACATTTAATCTTTCTAATGTTCACTTTATTTATGTATGACAGAGCAAGAGCCAAATATTTGCCTTTCCTGGGAACAGTCATGACAGACTACCACTTCTTATTCCACTCACGTTCACAGAGGAGAGAGTGGAGTGATTTGATAATAACAAATGTGTCATGGTGTTTACATGCACCCTCCTGAGGGGGTGAGAGCTTTGAGAGCCAGGAAGGATGTAGTGTAACCCAAACAGCAGGCCCTAGCCAGCCTTCTTGGCTCCTCTGATGGGATTATTTGACAACACACAGAGTCAGTCGAACGGTCATGTTTCATGTCACCCTAAAGGAAGTCATCTATGTCGTTCTATTGAATAACCTTTCATCTTCCATCCTTGGCTCTGTGTGGTTGCATTATGTTCACACAGTGAGTCCAGCCTTAAAGTTGCCCACCTCTTATTGAAATTACAGCCAAGCAGAGTGTTTGTGTTCGGGGCCTCCGGGGGCCATATGCCCCTGTGACAGGGATACCAATGATGACCCGGACAGGAACGACACCGGCAGCTGCTGCCACAGCTGTAAATGGCTCCTCCGGGTCCTAGTGCCACTGAGTATCACTCCCCTGTATCCAGGGGGCCTCATCTTTCTGATCAGGTCACAGCCAAGGCTGTAGGATGTCAAAATTATTTTGCTTACAGTCCAACACTGAAGACATGTGCTGACAACATAAAGTATAATGTCTGCACTGCAAAATTATATTGTAAGTCGCAATTTCAGACTCTGTCAATTAACAATTATAGAGATCAGTCGAATGGAAACATTAACTTAGGCTTCATTCTGCTTAAAAGGTTCTCTGTAGAAGAAAACGGTCACCATGTTGTTATCAGATGCCTCTAGTTTAAGTAACCGACATGCATACATTGTACAATGTCAAGTAATTGGGATAAACATTGTCATTCAGTCCAACATAATTGCGTCTGTGAAGGAACCTGACTGTGGAACCAAATTCAACGACAAAAAGTCATTAAGGACGATAAAAAAAAATCCCCTGTCCCTCTCAGGCCCAATGCACGCATGCACGCACACTAATGTCTGCATGTGCATGAAAATAAAACACTATCTTTCAGAGAACTCTACCCACATGTTCCTTCCTCTCGAGCTACTGTTTTTTTTTTTAACAAGAATGAAGAAATAAGTGCAAACAGATTTTCCCAAAGTTGCAACAGCGGCCTCAGAGTACAGCAGTTGCTGTTCCAGAAACTACTGAGGAAACCTGTTAGGTGAGTATTAATCAGTGCGTTCGGTCTAAAATTAAATGCATTGAATGTAGCTGCTCATTATTATGCTCACAGATAAAACCCTCCCTCGGTGCACCTATCACATTACATTACATTACTGCATGAGAAAGTATAAAAATATAACCGTAGTCTGAAGCACTGAAATATAAGTAAGGGTGAAGCATATATGGTTTATATGAAACTAAGTTATAATAACATGAGTTAGTTATCTAAAAACAGGTTCTGACCGCACATAAATATGCAAATATGCCTGACACTCAAGATAAGGCTTTTTTTTGACAGGATGTGTCATATGTTATTAGGTCTACCCGGTTATGTAAACACTAGAATAAAAGGTTTACATTGAACTCTTTGGTAGATGCACAATAATACACAGTGAGACAGAAATGAGTGATGTCTCGCTGGAAAGAGGACAGTATCAGACACTGGCCTAATTACACTCCTGTTTCAAGGGCAGTTTTTTTTCAAAGCTGAAAAAAAAAAAAACAGAGTATGAAGGTCATTTTGATTCAGTGTTTTGCCATCAGATAGTATCTCAGACGCATGGGTGCCAGTGTGTGTCTTCGTTTGTGTGTCTGTGTGCCACAGATGAGGGAGGAAGATATCAGAGTCTGTGTGTACACATCTCTAATGTGTGATTATGATTCACCAAGCAAGATTAAAGAAAGGTGTGAATTTTGTTTGTTTTTTTTCTTTTCTTAATTACTGTGGTTTTACGCGACAAACAAACGTAACTATAGCCGCTGTATCAATATTTATTTCCATGTAGACACATCCACAGCATGAGGATACAGGGATTTATTTACAGGTGACGGCTGAAACAACACTAAACAACAACAACATCCCTTACATCTACATCAACAAATGCCTCCTGGTAGGTTTCAAGCCTGAACCGTAACGCATGCGCATGTAACTCATTAATCATCACCTTTTTATTTTACCTGTTTTGGTTCTTGTGTGCTGGGGGGGCTTTGACAGCTGATGGATGTTGGAGGGAAACTGCAGATGTGGACGTCGGTCAGTCGCGAGCCTCGGTGGAAGATGTGAATTTAGAAGAAATATCCCCCCCCCCACCACCACATCTGAGACCAAGAAACACACTGAACTTTCCTTTCCAGTCGCCGCCCAGATGAAACCATCGGCATCCCAGCCCCTTCCTTCCTTCCTTCCTTCCTTCCTTCCTTCCTTCCTTCCTTTCCTCAGCGGGGTGATGACAGTGAGCAGGTCGGTTGGAAGCGAGCATCTCAGAAACACCGACAAATGTCTGCCTCGCTGCTGGTGTTTTAAAAGACACAGGCTCAGCAGCCTCCTTCTCTCTCTCGTCGTCTCCTCTGCTCTCTCGTCGCTCTGTTCTCGCGTTCTGCTATCTGCTTTCCTCTCTCTCTCCCCCTCTCTTTACGCTCCTTCCCTCGTGCCCTTCAAATTAAAGCCGAGGTCCGGGGACTACAGCACGAGAGAGAAAGAGAGAGCGCGCTTCCGTAAACGAGCAGCCGCTGCCTGCCAACGATGTGGCTGAAGTCCGTCTCTGATGCTCACAGAACTGCAGCGGGTAGATGGGAAACACCGGGGCAATTACGCATACAAAACATGCCCCCCGTCTGCTCCCGTAGCTGAAATTAATCTCTCTTTCTCTGTCTGCGTTGCACGACCCGACACTGGTTTCCGTGACAAGGTCAAACTAGTTAATTACATCAGGTAGATTGATAGTGAACGGTGTCGATGTGAAAGAGCTTTTCTATGTAGTCGAGGTCTATGATGAGGCGCCACTGCCACCCAGTGGTCGGTATGGCGAATTGCATGTCGTAATTAAAGAGCAGCAGCGAGGCTTTCAATTAAATAGAAGCACCTGCGTCTTTTAAGTGGTCGTTTGTTGTAACTTTGTCAGGGAAAAAAAGATCTAAATGGATGTTTATTTTTGTTGGTGGTGCAGCTTTCCTTTATATTTAGATCTGAGCAGTTAGAAAAAGAGTAATAGCGACATGTTGGGTCAAGGATCAAGGTTAATGCTGTTACTTAACTGAGCTCCGGGGTCCTGAGCTTCCTGAGAGATTGCTTCCTCCCTTTTGTTAAAACAGTGTCTGTCTACTAGACACAGCCACAATATGAGCTATTAAGACCCACCTGAAATTGTATTTTAATAGGGCAAATTTCCTTAAAAACATTGTAAAGCCAGTTCACATGCATAGTGGAAGTTTTTTCTTTCATTTTCGATTCATACTGTGTATTTATATGCTTGTAATTTAAAACAGTACCTATGGCCTACTGTACTTTATACTATATTTATTTTACTATGTAAATTGAGCAACCTGCACAAACATTGCAGGATGAATACATTTATATTTACTGTATGTCAAGTCAAGTCAGTTTCATTTCAAAATCACAAATCAGAAATTTGCATAATAGATTTATTTCAAGAATTCATGAATCAAATACAGAAAGTGAATATCCTACTAATATTAACATCACTGTATTATGTATTATTACATATATTATGTATCACCAGAGTTGAGTGAGCTGAGGACACACTTTGACTGGAAACTTGGACTGGAAGTTGTTCAGTAGAACTAGAGAGATTGTGAAATGCTGGATGTTTAAAGGCTGACGGTAAACTACATGACTGGCTTTAAAAGTTGAATAATATCTATGTATGTATGAAAAATATGGAATATTTAAAGATTTGTTGAAAAGGTAACACTAAACTGAATTACGTGCTTTAATTTGTGTGGAGAAGCGATTCAAGGAGTATTGTGTGAGAGACTAATTACTAAGGACTGAAAAGTTAAATAAATCTCACAAGGTTTAAATTTAGTTTCCAATTCAAAGTCGCCTTTGAATGAATAGATATGAGTTGACAAAGTGTAGAAAGGAGTTTAAATACTTGGAAAAGTGTGAAAGGGATGAAGGATTAAAAATATAGTGTCAGCTGGGAGGTAAATTGCATTGCTGGCTTTGATTTGAAGCAGCTGAAGGAATGTTGGAAAAGTGGGACAATGAATGGGACTGAAAAGTTAAATAAATCTTATAATGTATTTAAGATGTGGAACATTAGAAAGTTTGAATTGAGCTCAAGGCTTGACAAATTCTATAAAAGTGAAAATGTGTGTGTGTGTGTGTTTATGTGCTCACTTCTTCAACAGATTGAAAGAAAAGGATTTGGCATTTTAAAACTGCACTTGGTAGCTTGTTACACATGGGGAGGTGGGGGGGTCACGAATCAATATGGCGGCCGCTTGTTCGCTCCTGCCGCTTGGAAGCTCATGGAGCCAAAAGCAGAAGTCGGTTTATTTACATATAGTTGCATGTCTGCGACTGGCACAAATTTTCCAACATTTCTATTTATAAATGATGCATGTGGAGTCAAAATTGTGAGAATGAGAGCAAGTTGAAGAGAAGATTTGTTTATGATTTTACAGTTCCTGTTTCCCACTCCCAGACACATACTCTTCTAGGAGGCTAAAACACTGCATAAGCATGGGATAAGTTGTTGCTGTGGCAACACCTGAGGGTACCTCATCAGTCTCCATGACCTCTTAAATTGCCTGTGGCCTTTATAAAATGACAGTATCCTAGTGTGTCTGTGTATGTGATACCAAGTTAGTATGTGTGTGTGTGTGTGTGTGTGTATGTGTGTGTGTGTGTGTCCTTTTAAGGCCAAAGCTTGGTGGGGAAAGCTGCGCAGCTGTACAGTAAATGTGGGAAAGATTTTTTGCCTGAAGCTTCTGACGACAAACCCAAATATACAAAATACGTTAAATACTGCAGGATGTGTTGAAATGTTACCTCACATACACCTACTGTATATACTGTATCCTCATAGGATGGAAAATAACCCATAACGTGTCTAAATATATTATTCAATAGTGATGTTATCGTGCTGTTGTCTTTTGTACCACACTACAGAGTAGAACTGATAACAACACAGGTTTTTGTGCAGCATATAGGTCAGTGTACGTGTGTCATAACCTGCGGTCGTGACACTTTCCTTATTATATCTGTTCAGTGTTCCTCTATCTGATGTTTCTTTGCAACAAAACACATCTAATGTTTTAAAAACACACATAAAATACCCCCCAAAAATAGAAATACTTGTCCATATTGTACAATCTAATACAGACGCCCTGTAGTAAACATAGGCTCTGTAAATCTTACAATGCCCTTTTTGTTGAAACTGTGTCAGAGGTATTAGAAGTATTAGTTCAATTTTGTGGTAATTTATGAAGCTTGTAGTGAATTCAGTCATGTTCAGCCCCTATGTGTTTAACATAAACAGAATATGATTAAACAGAATATAAATTTAGGCTTTAACTGAGCAGTTTGGTTCAACAACTGTGTGACTCCTGCTATGTGATGAGTGAGTGTTTTTCTGTTATTTTCAACCTTTTAATTCAATTCAATTCAATTCAATTTTAGAAGTTATCTCAGGACACTTTTCAAATAGAGCAGGTCTAGACCAAACTCCTTATAACATTATTTACAGAGACCCAACAGTACCACCATGAGCAAGCACTTGGCGACGGGGGCAAGGAAAAACTGCCTTTTAACA